CAAGGTACTAATTGGGAATTTCCCCCTTTTTTTCTCTTGTTTTGTTCCTCATATTAAGAGAGGAAATGAAAAATGGATGTATAAGGATTACGGATTAATTTGGCTTGCAAACTACAAGATCCATGTATTGTTTCTCATTTTCTTTTATAATGAAGAGTGTTTTATAATAAGATTGTAGTTATATAAGTCCTTTGTATTCTTGGTAGTGCTTGTCCTATTTTATATAAGTCCTTTTACAACCACAAGACAGCCCTCCACACCCCAAGCCAAATGACCACCCAACAACAAAGTCCAATCCATAAATTAAACACAACACTTTAATTGATTTTCCTTCTTCCCCCGTTGTGATCTACTACCAAAAGAATGCTCACTACTACACTGTCCCAACATACCACTGCAACTGCACATCGGGAACATCTCCCAATAATTATCTGCTACCCTCAACACCCCAAGCCAAAGGACCATCCAACAACAAAGCCCAATCCTTAAACACAACACTATAATTGATTTTCCTTCTCCCCTAATAGTATCTGCTACCAACAAAATGCTAAGAACACTGTCCCAATGTACCATTGCAGCTGCACATTAGGAATATCTCCCTTTGTACCATTGCAGCTGCACATTAGGAATATCTCCCTTTGTCATTCATGGGGAGATGTTCCTGAGGTACAACTGCAATGGCTAGTTGGAACACTGGTGCCCACCCTGACTCGGGCAGGTAAATTGCCATCTCTAGATTCTAAGACATATTTGCCTTCCAAACGAAGAGTAAAGTTTACATCCAAAACTAGTCAATTTTAAAAAGATGTATTCCAATCCCAAGATCCGTACATTTATACTACCATAACTAAAAAGCATCATTTCCAACCTAAACCAATTTTAGATTTTCATGAAAAGGACATATTTGCACTTGCACTCAACAATTTTTGTATTTATAATTTGGTAATCTTCCCAAACTGAGCCTGAAGGAAGTTAATTTTAAAACACATGTGTCACATCTGTCTTACACTTGTTTGCTTGCCAAGCCCCCCCTCCCTTGACACCCAGTCCAATCTCGTGAACTTTGTTTCATTATCAAGTTTCCTCACATTTACCACATGTACCATTGCCGGTTTTTTTGTTTGAACCTGCTGAAGGGAGGTTAAGATCCATTACATAGATTTCTGAACCACGCTAGATGACAAGGCAAATTTTCAAAAATTTTCTTAATCTTTTGGGAATCAAATTCTTTGATTTTCGAAAAATTGCATTTTTCTAGGATCGATCTTACACTAAAATTGGATCAGATTTGAAACCAAAACAAAAGGGAGATATATACTTGATACGGATTCCACAAATATAGCTCCCAAGGTGGAAATTCACGCCCAAATCAGTCCCTAAAATCAACTTCCATTAAAAATGGCGCAGGTTGATGTTGAAGCCGGTTCAACAACGTAGTTTTCATCAAAATTGCAATCCAATAGCTTGGATCGAATTGGGGAGGTGAGCACAAATTTTCTCTGAATTTTTCTTACAAAAATCAGAGAAAGAACTGATCCATATCAATCCCAAAAGTTGAAGTCGAATTAGGGTTTCTTGGGTGACAATAGAGAGAGAGAGAGAGAGAGAGAGAGAGAGCAGAACTTGCAATGTTCTACAGCAGTTCATCTTCTTCATCTTTTGTCCTTTTATGGAGCACTTCACCTAATCAAAATAGGAGATTATCCAAATCTTTAATTGGATCTGGACTCTATCAAGAGATAGGTCTTATCCTCTTAAGAGAATGGGTGCTCCATACCCATTTTTAAACCCAGATTCACCCATGTCATATGATAGATTAATTAATCATATTAATTATGGGCTTTAGGCCTATTAGCTATATGACTCACGACCCATGAGTGTTTCTTGGCCAATTTAGGTTTGATTTGTATGGCGTGGGACCCCACAATGATTTCACATAAGACCATATGGGTTTGGCCTAGCCTCTGTGAAAAGGCCTGGCCGAGTTCACTGCCAAACGCAATGAACCCCTAAGCTCATCACTATGGGTTCAAATTGGGCCCAACATTTACAGTTAAATGATCAATGAATCCAACTATCTTATGAAGACCCAAGGATAATGGACTTAAGTAATATATAACCCATCAAGTAATCATCCCTTAATAGTCTCTTACACTTAACAACCCATAATGATCAGACACTACCCGACAAGGAAAGACCTCTCCCCTGACTGCAAGGTGCAGTGTCACACTTTCTGCTCGGATGGATCATAGGAATTAAAACCTTTTGTAAACACTTTTCACTGACGTGTTCACTCGTGATAGGTAATTCAGCCAGGTGTGTATAATTTTGTCTTCAGCTCATCTGGACTGTTTCAAAACATGTTAAAAAAGTATAATTGAAATGCTACGACAATATATCAGGTCGGATCGGATTCAGGTTTAGATTGGGACATTGGAGGATCAGGTTATTCATGGTTGAGGCAAACCAGTGCCAAACTCGAACCGTTGACATCCCTACTCATTATATTTAAGTAACAAGTACAAACTTTGGATTTATAAACACAATCTTCCACAATTATATTATAATAGAAATCACAAGGTAAGTAATTTTTTTTAAAATAATCAATTTTAGTGATGCCCATTAATCGATGATTACAAATAATGGGAAGAAATTGTGTCATCTCCACGCATTAAACAGTTTTCGGTGTGAGTTTAATTAATAGGGAGATAACGAGTAATGTTGGATATGATAAGGACCATGGTGGGGCATATGAAAAGGAATTGCTAGTTGATGAAGATGTTAAAGTAGGATATATATGGATAGCAAGTACAGGATTATATGATAATTACTATTGAGATTGTGTGGTCTTTTTGTATATAGATTTAAAAGTTTTTTTTTTGTATATAGATTTTAAAAAGTTTGATCTGTTTTTTTTTTCGTCCTTTTTGTTGAAGAGGAAAAAAAGAGGTAGAGAGAATTGTTCTTGCCTTCTTGGTGTAAGTGTGTTTTTTCAGGAAAATTCTCGAATAGTACCCAGTACTTTGGGTCTAGTGCCACTTTGGTCCCCAAACTTTAAAATGTGTCAATTTAGTCCTTGTCACTAATTAATCCGTTAACCGGTCGTTAAGTGGCATTTGAAAAAATACAAATACCCTTTGAGTGTCATCTAATTCTCTTTCAACCATCTAAACGTTGACAAAAAATGAATAGTTTCAAATCCTTACCTTTTCTATTCGAGAAATTAACTACGGTTCATTTTTTATCAATGTTTGGATGGTTGATAAAGAGAGTTAGATGACACTCGAAGGGCATTTGTGTCTTTTCAAATGCCACTTAATGGCTGGTTAGCGGATTGATTAACAACAAGTACTGAATTGACACGTTTTGAAAGTTCAGATATTAAATTGTCATATTTTAAAGTTTGGGGACCAAAGTAGCACTAGACCCAGAGTATAGGGTACTAATTGGGAATTTCCCCCTTGATTAGTCTAAATTCTTCCTGTATTATTCAAAATTCACGGGAGCTTTTGATTAGTCTAAGTTCTTCCTATATCATACCTTGCATCATAGATTGACATTGATGGGGTCGCACTTTTGAGACAGCAATCATGTTTTGGATATGCAGCTTTAGATCATGTTGGAAGTCATGTAGGTAGTGTTTTGTTGATAGAAAATCTGGATTCAATTGTGAGAACATTGCACACAGAAGTGCATCTTTAATGGCTTGTTCTCTCAAAAAGTGAAAATCTATGTCTATAGCTTTGTTCTTCCTTGAAACATTGAGTTAGCAGTATGCAGTATAACAAGGCCTGTATATAGAATTTACAGTCAGCCCAACTGTGTTTGATAAGGAAAAAGTAGGGAAAGGAAGGGAAAGATAGGAAACCTTTTCCTTCAAACCAAACATAGCCTCAGCAAGAAACTGCATAGTAATGCCGCATCACATGACAGCCCCAAGCCAAAAACCACCCAACAAGGTCCAATCCAAGAATACAACACTTTAGATCAGCGTTTTAAAAAACAACCCAAAAATAGAATCGTTCTGGCCATTGATTTTCGGGTTGTTGGTCTGATCGTCCGGTTCAAATGAACGGTCTGTTCAGACGACAAAATTAAAAAATAAAAAACAGTCAAAAACCATTGAACAGATCAATGATTCAACCGTCCGAATCAACAGTTTGTTGACTTTTCCAACGGTTTTTTATCAGATTCCAGGAATGAAGTAAAATGGAACCGGTTGCCTAAACAGTTCCTGGGCCAAACGGTCCAACCATTCAGGTCAGCAGCGGTTCAAAAACGTTGCTTTAGATTGCTTTTTCTCTCTGCCCTAAGCCAACACAACCCAAGTTGCGTTCCTATTTTCCTGTTATGCATACATTGTGTCTCCATGTTGTGTGCTTTGCAAATACCATATAACCATAATACAATATGGTGTAGCGATATCAATGAGTTGTGTTTTAAATGGTAAATTCGCATTGACCTGACCCTACTGAGATAGGTTTGGGCTTAATCGGGTTTTGGGTCAGGTCGAATGATCCCATACCAAACCCGACCCTTAACTTTGCATCATTGAAACATCCCATTTTCACTTACTCGAATCAGGTCAGTATAGGCGTTGTTCGGGTTGAGAAAACCCATACCAAAACCGATCTATTAGCATCTCAATTGTGTATTTACATCATGCCATGGGAGCCCACATTCATGAACAAACATGTATTTGATAGATACATTACGGATTGTCTATGTGAATTGTGAAACACCAGATTAAAGCTCTTAGGGTCTAGCCTTGTACAGTTTTGATCATCTCACGTTAGGTTGCCCTGGACCCAGGGTCCAGCTCTAAGGATCAAGCATGTGTAAATTGGCTCGGAACACGGCCAAGCCCGCCCAAGTTGTTCCCCCATGTTGTATATAGAGGAACCACAACTGTCGAATGACAAAATTGGGGTCATAATCATATAGGTCAGCTGCAGTTAAGGTGTTACATATAGATAAGGCCCAAATGTATGCCCAGCATATTCAAAAAGAAGCATCCAAGACAACATCTATAATAGGCTATATTTCTTATCTATGTAAGATATAAACATTATTCAAGCAATACACAGTTGTTTCATCGTTTCATCTGTAGGGCAGTACTGATTAAAGTTTCACAAAGCACTAAACAAGAGATGTCTATATAAATCCACACATACTAACATGTTAGGGTAGTCCCCAGAGTCATGACTCATGAGTGATCTTGCTCCATCATATTCAAATGAAAGATACCTTCAACATTCTTATGTACTTCAACCTTAAATTTTTCTTCCTTATTTCCCCTCTTGACTTTGAGAAGCAAATCGAACTTCGCCACTTCTTCAATTACCTGCATGAATCACAAACAATAAGATCATTTATCCATCTTCCAAAACTATGTACGTTGCAAATATGCATGCAATTCCCATGCCAACAGCTAAATAGCTAATAACAGAAGGGTAAAACTGCTACTAAGGAAATAATGGGGAAAAAGAACCAAACAGAGCAGAAGATGCCGACCTCTGCCTTTGCATGAAGGACCTCCAGCAGTTCGTAAGGGGCCAGCGAGTTTGACCTCTGCTGGATAGTCTTAACAGCATGATTTGCTGCATCTTGGACAATAGGATCATGTGCTGGCACTGCTCTCCATCCTGGTCCATGGCCATCTGGATTTACATGACCGGCCAATAATTACTACTAGGAAATATTTGGCCCAAATTTACTTAAACACGACCCCCTAACATGGCCTGTTACATGTACATTATCGGCTCCAGTGGCTTGGGAAGGCTTTGGATGTTGAAGGGTAAAGTGTTTAATGGAAAGAGGTTAATCTAGGTCAAGCATGATTCTAAAAGAATGTGAATATGTCATATTCTTGTCCTCATGAAGAATCTGAACATGCAATTACAAAACAAGTAAAAGAAGAAAGAAACTTAATTATGTTTTCAAGTTCGAGCACATAACACAATCTGGATATCTTGTATTTACAAATCCCACATGATAGAAATTCCCATGGGTGGAGCTTTTATGTACAAATAGCAGAATACCAATTACCCTTAAATAAGGGGGGAAGAAATCATGTAAAAAGTAAAAAACCCCCAAAACAATGCAAATGGGGTTGAAACATGCATTAATAAGTCAATTAATTTCTTTCCTTTATATCAGAAAAAGAAAAGTATTATATTTTGCATGTGAAAGATGAAGCATGTTCAAAACCCAAAGGCTTGATACAAACAAGGTGACTACTAAAGGCTGACCAATACCCAAAATAGGATCCCTTTCCACTACTTTGTTACTCACCTTCTTGGAAATAGAAAAACTCAACAGTTTATCTTGTTGTCTTAAAAATCAAGCCAATGAGTGAAAAACATGGTAGGGCAAAAATGATTTAATGAGTGCTCATTGAATTTCCATTACTTTTTAGCACAATTCTAAATTGTGCCCAAGTCTGTACTTTCTTTTTAGATTGACCATATAACACTCTCTTAATAATAATTAATGTTTTAAAAAAAGGCATCTTTGAATGTTGGATCAATAAACACAACCCAAATTAAATAGCATAAGAAACCTACAAAGAACAGTTGTGGTTCTAGAGACTAATAAAAACTTTTTTTTTTTGTATTAAAATGCTACCTCAGAAAATATAGGAAATTCAAAGGAGATATTAAGACATTATCGTTAAAGATCAAAACAGAAAAAAAAAAAAAAAACAAAAATAGAACAACCAAGAAAGAGAATAAAGATATAGATGGAAGATAATATGATTGCCAAAGTATTGAGTATTGACTCAACAATATCCATTTATCAAGTTTTATTTATTTTCTTTTACTTCTCATACTTNGTTGCTAATGTATTGAGTATTGACTCAACAATATCCATTTATCAAGTTTTATTTATTTTCTTTTACCTCTCAACAAATTCAAACTTTTAGTTGGTGATATRGRTTTTATACTTGTAAACTTATAAYATGATCTGTCTAATTGGTCAAGGAGTTGCCTACATCAAGTATTTGTTTGCATTTAAAACCAAACTAAATTTATGCAGCAATTTTGTTAGATTATTAGTAATAATCATATTATGCCATCAACAACAGTTATATAAGGTTTAAGAACACTTCTATATATATATATATATATATATATATATATATATATATTCATGATCTTGCATCAAATTAAAAAGTCAAATCCTTTCACTTTGGTTCAAACTTCTCCAGTTCGTGATTTATGATCCAATTTGGTTTCGATAATATTGACTCCAACAATTTTAGCACCTCCAATTAGAAAAAAGAAATAATAATAATAATAATAATAACGGGGATCCACCAGATACTTGAAGCCTACAAAATCTCTGAAGAAGACCCACTCAAGCACAATAACAGAGATATCATTTCTTCCCAATCGACACAATCTATTCCCTGTCCTGTATATTTGATGGATTGAAAATCCGAGAAACCATGTTTACAGAAGGCATGCATTCTCAATCGCATCCAAACCGAGAATTAATTCCGATAATCCCTAACAAGGTAAATGTAAAATATGTATATATGATTCTACGGTCAATGATCCCCTTAAAATCAGTATTCAATTGCTTCAAAATTCAAAGGCAAATAGAGATTCCAAGATCATCTACCTCGCCTGGCACCGAGATCCGACGAAGTGAACGTGGGGGCATCTCCAACCGGTTTGAATTCCTGCAGCTCCTTGAAGTTCAACCATGGCTTCACCCACACCTTGGCTTCATAAATTTTCTTCTTACCAGCCTCAATCACCTCCAGAGTCAGATGGTGCAGAGTACCAGCAACCACCTGCTCCTTCGCCTTCACAATCCTCGCAAACTCCAGCAGCGCATTCTACCCCAATTATCAAACAAACAAAAAATTAATAAATAAAATAATTATTTTTTCAAACTCCAGATGAGAGAACTAATAATCGAGAAAGAGACAAGGAGATCACCTGTTTCTTGTTGTGTTCATCGACAGCAAATCGAGCAAGGCTTTCAATCTCGACGCTGTTCTCAAACCCCACCGACTCGCGTATCCCGCCGGGGAGCCCTTCAGTTGCCATCCTTATCGGATTCTCGAAACAAAACCCAAATTCGGAAAACCCAGAGAAGAGAAGCAGAAGAGACAAGGCTAGAACCGAACAACTAATAACTCTGCTGAATCTCATCACTCCGCTCTCTTTAATAACTCTGCTGAGTGCTCGCAGCTGCTTCGTTTCCTCCTTCCAACACTATCCCTCCGCGCTTTTGCTCTGGCATGGATTAGATTCTCTCACTCCCACACCCATTTTCTCACGACTTCTGAGCTCCGTCGCCCTGGCCCCAGTGCACGTGCGGGCACGTGAGGACACGTGTCATATCCTGGGCTTCTGGGGTGGAATCTTGCAAGTTTTGTTCCCTTTGCGTAGGTCCTACGCGTTTGACTGGTAGTTGGTGACGTACTGACGTTGGGACTAAGGCTCTATTAAGTCTCTGACCAGTAATGATATTTTGCGTAGTTTAGTCTTCCAGATGAATGCTAACCGCACGAACTGTTTTGCTTGTATCCTTTTAGGAAATTATCGTACACCGTGAGGCCAAATACCTGTGGTATATAATGGTTTTGTAAAGGACACGAGAAAATATCCGTGTGATTAACATTTCTTTTCTTTGCCATGAAGCAAAGAATGGTCAACCCGTAATAATGATACCGACCTCATATTTTTTTCGTAAATTACAAAGACCCCTAAATTGTTGAAAATTACCCCCCAAACTTTTACTTTGCAACAAATATCCCCGTTAAGTGAGATGGAGGAATATTCCATTAAATCATCAAAATATCCATCCAAATTTTTCTTATTTTCTTTTACTTGCCCTTTTCCTTTAAACCCTATTTAACCCAAAAGTAATTAGTTAAAATAATTCGAAGTCTAGGAGGACAATTGTCATTGACCCCATAATTCCAAGTGAAAATTTAGTGTATTTGTCACCTATCTCCCTTTTATTTTTTATTATTATTATTATTTTTTTTTGTAGTGTATAAAAAGTTTTGATTAATAGAATAGTATAACACATTGTGTTGTTACTCATGCACATTTGTATATTTTTGTGGTGCATGGGTCTTAAGAATTGGCAATGGGAAGAAAATCGATAGTGGCAAGGTAACACCCCTATACCTTATGATTTTCTTGTTTAAATCTAACAAATTTCACATTGGTTTGTAAATTTAACTTCTTTTTCAACATTTCTTTTTGTAGATGGATGCCAACTGCAAGAATTTTCAAAGCAAACCCTATGAGATAACACTCTTGTAACTTGTGATTCCTTGTTCAAATATACCAAAATACATTAATTTAGGATCTGATCTTTGATAAGCTTTACTAAGTCAAAATCTGTTAATAAATCAGAACTAGGTTGAATTATTTTAGTTTTCTAAATCCCAAGCCTCTGCATATCCTTGGTTACCTACCTTTGCTCAAAGACATCTGTGCTTCTATCGCCAAACATTGGTCTAAGGTCTTTGCACTGCTGAAATAACACATATAAGGAAACATATAAAGCTTATTAATTGAAGTGATCAAATGGTTAGCAATTTTACAGCTTTCTGTTTTCACTTTTAAAACCAGACATTAAAGACTATGTTTGGTTTGAAGGAAAAGGTAGGGAAAGAAAGGGAAACCTATATAAGGTTTGTAAAGGTTTTCCTATCTTTCCCTTCCTTTCCCTACTTTTACCTTCAAACCAAACACAGCCTAATGGAGAGTGGAGAGGGCGCGGTACTGCTCTCCCAAGGTCGGCTGCAAGTCCAAAGCTCTTTTCTCAAGTGGGACGATGTGAGAATAATGAGGCCCAAATCTATGATTCATTCCTACCTAGTACAAGATCTCTCTACAATTCTTCTCAATTCTCGTCACTAGATTATAAATCCATAAGCCAAATTACTCTTGTAATTGGGTATTGGACAAAGTGCCCACAACTACAAGAATTTATTGCCTTTGTCCATGTTTGCTTTTGGATCATTCAAGAATTCTCTTATCAACAAGTTGACAACAAACAAGGATGCTTGTTTGGGTTCTCTAAAGGTCAACCCACAGTTTGCATCTAAGATGAGAGAGAGAGAGAGAGAGGTGGGGGAGTGAGGTATTTACTTAGTATAATAAGTAAAGAAATAACTTTTTTGGGTAATAGAAATATCAATGAAACACCAAATGAACTACACAAAAACATTAACAAAGAAAAAGCTGTTTGAGCATTAAAAACATGTTTACACTCTTAGGAGCTGTTTGAGAACTGTTGGATTGGCTGAACTGAAATCAACTTTTTTATAATGAAATTAACAATCATTTAATGGAATATTTAGGAGTAATAAGGTTACCCTATCAAACCATTAAGCAGTTAAGGAGCTCACAACTGCTTCATTGTTTATACATTGACTAAAATATAACCCAATGAACTATTAAGTACAAGCAAATAAGCCATCATCAAACAGTCTCTTGGGATCATGACATACTGCTCCAGCATCACAAAGTGTACATTTGTGTATATATAGATAGAATTGTTGTATTTTTGGCATTATAATATATCTGAAGTTTGATATACGAATTAAATATCTTTGCCGAAGTTTGTGATCATGGTTAGTCTTCTGTTTTGATAGTTTTGATCATGGTGAATATGATATTTGGTGTTTTTTTAATACTTCTAAACCGATGTTCTGAAACAAGACTGATATGATTGACTGGATTCAACTAGGTTCACTTGGTAGAAACATTTCAGTTTAAGTTATGTTCAATTCTGTACCACAAGCATAACAGTCAAATGCTTGTTTATGTTCTATTTTGTATAGATCCATCCCAACTTACATGGGGCAGACTGGCAACTTAGACACTCTACACTTAACCTCTATTTGTAATGGTTGACTAGGAGAGAGAGACCAACTTTTTCTTCCCATAGGATCACATTCAGACTTTCTCTTCTTCTGTTGCACACACTTCAGGACCACCATATCTTGATTTCATAATACTTCTAAAACACAGTCCTCTTTATGAATATTCAACTCCAATATGGTTTGACTCTTTTCCCAAAAAAAGAAAATGTCTTCTGTGGTTCTAGTTTCATATTTGAATAAACTGCATTGCTTTAGTAAGACATTCTCAATCATTTTGGGAACCTTTCTACATCAAAAGATCTTAATTATGCAGATTCATGTGTTTGCACATATGCCCATTAGGAAGAAATGTGACATATGTTTGTTAAGTGTCTTTTTCTGGTTCATGGATTTGCTTGGCTTCAGCATATGTTAATTTAAAATGGCATGACTGGTTGCTACTTAGAATATGTCCTTTTTTTTTTCATTTTGCTTTGTTTTTAAAAGGAAAATGTAGGTAAACTTTTAGTATTTTTTTTATCATGTTCTTTCTAATTTTCTCAATTTTAGAGTTGAATATTTGAAAACAAAATAGCAAAGAAAAAAGAAAAGTTGCTGCCTTGCAGTATTATACATTAACCATAGATTTATAGAGGCTGGCTGGGTTGGATGGATCTACTGAAATGGTGGGAAAGGTAAAAGACATGATGTGGTAAGAGAAGAATAACCACCTCTTGATATTTTACAAGTATTTGACTTTCAAAGGTATTTTAAGAATTGAATTCATACATAACCACCTCATGATATTTTGAGAGTTAATGATGGTTTAATCACCTCTTTATATGTTTTCTATGTTTCTTGTGTTACGGGATGACTTGGCATTATAGAGCAATGGAGGTTGCAAAAGTGTAGTAAAAATATATGACAAACCTGTAACAAAGTCATGGACTATGTGTTGATTTCTTGAATTCAAATTTTCTCATTAGGTGTTATTTTAATTCTTTTGTGCTTACATATGCTGCCTTATGTAGGCAAGCTTAGTTTGGCATGAGTATTTCTACATAGTTTTTGGTGCATGCATGAAGATTGAAGTTGATAAGTTGTCTGTAATTTCTTTCAAGAAATTCAATAAGTTAAATATCATATGAATTGTATGGATCACCCTACATTTGTTGGATGTTTTCATTCTTGTAAAATGATGAACCACCCTGCAGTCATCCAACAATCTAGGAAGCTAAATATCATGTGAATAGTATGGGCATGGATAAATATATTTTATCATTTTGGTTAAGTAATGTCCAAGAGCTTTATTTATATCTAGTTTTATTATTTTTTAATTATGTATAAAGTTGAGCATGCCCATGTAACAATGTGCTCATGCTAATTGAAACCTTAACCCTGAATTAAAGACACTAATCAGAGAGAGAGAGAGAACCAAAGCAACAAGAACTCATTGGCTTTTTAGTGTGGAGGCCAACATGCCAGACCCTACTTCTGAGAAAGTTTAATAAGGCCAAGTCAGTCTATGTTAATTACTTATAGTCAATTTGGCATATGGCAAAGATGATTATGTAGAGAGAGAGAGTTCTATGGAAATCTTAAAACAAGAAGGCAAGAGCTAGGGAGAAAACATAGATGGTTGCAAAAAAATCATATCCACCTTTAATTATTTTCCCACAAAACAGGGAAAATGAATTTTCCCATTATTTTCCTTTGTATAACCAAACGATGGAAAGTGAAATTTGCACACTTTTTTCCTCAAACCAAATGGAGCCTTAGGCTTTTGGAATGGAACCTTGAGAGTTTGCTGTTGTATTGTAGATCCTATGCATTTTGACTTATAGCCGCCTAGTTGGTGACATTGGGAGCCTTTGGATTGCCGTCTCCAAAGGCGGAGTCAGGAATTTTTTATGAGAGGGGCCAAAACCTAAAGTGAATTGAGCCAACTATTTGGATAGGAAGTGAAAGGATGGAGGAAATTTATAGGGAAGAGTGTGTATTACAAGTAGACCTTTTCACGGGCTGGTCTTTGAGCCCAATTTGACACTGTCTTGCACTTGAACTTTAGTCCGAACCCATTAGAATTTCGACAGAAACCAAGCCCAAACCTGACCCATAAACACGTCTAATTACAAGCAGAGATTTATAAAGTATTAGAGAGGCCATGGCTCCCCAGAGAATAGAAGCTGAAAACATGACGCTAGAAGCAAACAACGAGCACTCTTTCATTGGTCCACTCTCTTTAATAACTCGTTTTTTGGTAGAATCTCTTGAATAACTCTGGTGAATGATGGCAGCTGCTTCGTTTGCTCCTAATTCTACCCCTACGCGCTTTTGCTCTGGCATGGATTAGATTCTCTCTCTTTACTCTCATACCCATTTTTTCGCGCCTTCCGAGTTCTGTCGTCCCGGCCCCAACCCCAATGCACATGATAACATGTGTCGTCTTGCAAGTATTGTCCTTTTGTGTAGGGTTCCACTATGATGCTGGAAAGATGTGATACAGAAAACTTTACAACCAATTAAAATGGCATCATAAGAATAAGAATCAATCAAGTTGGTTTTTCACTAAAACTCAACGGGTTGTGAACTTGTGATTAGTCAAACCTTTTCGGCATCATAGGTTTTCTCATTTGGTAAAGTAAGAATTAATTAGTGGTTAAAACTATTCCAATTTAAATTTTAGGGAATTTTATAATTGGAATAAGGCTTAGAGGATGATGATGAGTACAAGGATGAAAATTATGTTTTTGAATTTACATTTTTGTATTTGAAAATATATCACAAAAAAACTGTTTAATATAGATAAATGATAATTTTTTTTTTGAGAAAAAGTATCCCACAAAAAAAATATATATATATATATATATATATATATATATACAAATTAGGCTCAATTTGGAAGGAGAACAAATACAAATATGTACATTGCTCTTTCCAAAGTTTGAAAGATGTATTATTTTGTATATATTCGCGCTGTTCATATTTATATTTATAAATGATAATTTTTTTTTTGAGAAAAAGTATCCCAAAAAAAATATATATATATATATATATATATATATATATATACAAATTAGGCTCAATTTGGAAGGAGAACAAATACAAATATGTACATTGCTCTTTCCAAAGTTTGAAAGATGTATTATTTTGTATATATTCGCGCTGTTCATATTTATATTTATATTTCTCCCAAAGTGTGGAAAGAGTACAAATATAAATATATAGAATACAAACATTGTATTTTGTATGTATATATAGTGTATATATTTGTGCTTGTGCTCTTTCCAAACTGAGCCTTAAGAACAAATTGGATGTGGCACTGGCAGTAGTTGTTAGAACTTCTTTAAAATGTACTTTTTATGGTTTTATTCATTTGTTTACCTATTATTATTTTCTCAATGTTACGAGACTCAAACCGGATCATATGGTTAGACCGACCATAAAACCCTGGAATCGGAAATTGCTCTGATTTTTCAAATTTCTGAAAAACGGTCAAATGGATCAACACCCGATGCAACCATTGAAAATTGACAAAATTTTCACCATCCACCTGAGTCACTGAATCACTACAAACTTAAAGTGGCAAAGGAAGATTTGAATTTGTGTGTTAATATCCGACCAATAGTCCGTAATGTCATTTATATTGATTTACGGCTCTTTAATTCATAGTCTTTTAATCCACGGACCATATGGTTAGACCATAAACCCATGGTGCATGCATACCACGTGTTCTGAAGATTATTCGAGCAGTACACTATTATTTCAAATATATATGTAGCAATAATAAATGTTTCATAGAAGTACTAAATCAGATGTCTATAATATAAATCCACACATATTAGCATAATAGGCTAGTGCCTAGACTCATGAGTGATCCTGCTCAGAAACCTTCAACATTCCTATGTACTTCAACTTACTTTAAAAAAAAAAACTATATTTTTCTTTCTTATTTACCCTGTAGACCTTGAGAAGCAATTCGAGTTTTGCTACTTCAATTACTCAATTACCTGCATGAATCACAAACGATAAGATCATTATCTATCTTCCATAACTGTATAAGTTACAAATATACATGCAGTTTTCATGTCAAGAGCTAATAACAGAAGAATAAAACTGCTATTATGGAAATAATAGGGAAAAAGAACCGAAAGGAGCAAAAGGTGCCAACCTCGGCCTCTGCCTCCAACAATTGGTAAATACAAGTGTAGCGTGCTTTTGTCATGCCACTGAGCAGGCGGTGCTACCATGACACAACAAATCGAGGAGCAATTTTTTTTTATATAATAAAATAAAACAAATAAATACATACATACATATGCCAGCTCATGGGCCTCAAACCCTTAACCCAGTCTAGAACAGGGCTATGGGTCGTGCCTGCACTACACTATACCACTATGGGCCATTTAGAGCATCGGCCAAATTGTATCAAGGCGTGCTGGCCCATGAGTGGCCCAGCCCATTTCATGGCAATCTGGATTTACACGTCAATAATTACTACTACGAAGTACGAAACATGATCCCAGCTCTGGCCTCTATACATGCACATTGTGGGCTTACCGGCTTGAGAAGGCTTTGGAATGTTAAGCGTGAAAGGGGTGTTTTACAACATTAATATTTTTGTTTTCATTTGATTTTGAAATTACCACATCAGAAAAAAAAAAAAAAAAACATGTTTTTAAACTCTACTTTTGTTCTTAAAGCAAAAAACAAGTTTAGTTTATTTTAAAAAACAACACATGTTTTTGAAACCAACAAAATGTTGTTTATAAAACAAGTCAGGCTTATGGGCTTTCCAATACTAATAAAAGTTAATTTAAGGAATCATGGGCCGAGCCTAATGAAAGGGAATGATAATGAGGCCTTGGCTTGGCTTCATCTATACAAAGATAGGCAAATCAAGCCAAACCATTTATAAGAATTAAATAAAGCCCATGCTTTAGTTTTTGTGCCATAGGCCAAAGCCTAGTCAAGCCTATCCTAGGTTGGCCATGTGCAATATTTTGTTTCATGCATTATATATTATTTAATTTTAAATTTTCAAAATAATATTTTTATCTTTAGATGTCATGTGTCCAAAGTGTGGTCCAGCCCAGCCCATGATTCCTAAGACTTTGCTAGGAAGACAATTCTCATATTTGAATTAACTCATGTATTGCCACATGTGTTGACACGTGCCACTTCATAAATATTTATATGTTAAAAGTTTTATATTTTATAATATATATATTGCATGACAAGCCAAGAATGATAACCCCTATTATTTGGTGAAGGAATTGCCTACATCAAGTATTTGATTTCATATAAAACCAAACCAAATTTATGCAACGATTTTGTGTATTTGATCATCTACATAAATACCATTTACACCTCTTAGAAAAAGGAGTTAGTTGCAAATCAAAGGGGCTAGAAGAACTAGAGGCCGACTAAAGAAAACTTAGATGGGAGTAATAAAAAATGATTAAGTGTGCATAGTTTAATAATGGATATGGCATTGAATAGAAGGAAATGGCGAAACAGGATTCATGTGACCAATTCTGTATAGTTGGGATATGGCTTAGATGATTTCCATGCAAATTATTTGACTTGGAATACAGTCACCTATCCATAGGAGTGTCCATGAAAAATTGAAAAACCAAAAAACTGAACTGAGCCATATATATATTTATATGTATATATTATATATTTTTAATATATGTTACATATTTTTTATATATTATACATAAATATATATTTATTATATAAATATATAAATATATATATATATTATATTTATAATAATCTATTTATAAATATTTTATATATTTTTATAATATTTATGATATATTATATATCATTTATTATTTATAATATAATATTATACATATACTTATATAATATATATTATAAATATAAAAAATCAAAAAATTGAAGAACCAAACCAGTCAAAAATCAAAACCGACGGACTGGTTAACCGGTAATACCTGTTCAGTTTGCAAAAATTACCTATGGTTCGGTTAACTGAACCATGGACACCCCTACCTATCCATTTCTGTTTTTTACTTGGCCTGAATTTTTCAAAAAAAAAACCATTGAAATGGCTAACAATTTGACTTGGACAAAGGTTTTTTAATCATTTTTATTTAAACCTTTTATTATTTTTAAAACATCATGTGTTGATTCGTTTAGATCTGACAACCAAAATGAGCCAAAGGGTTCCATTTATGGGTGAGGTTTTAAAAGCTTGATTCCAACAATTTCAGCAACTCCAAATAGAATAAAACAAACAATGATCCACCATATACTGGAAGCCTATAGACTCTGACTTGGGACCCAACCATGCACATAACATAGGGCTTGTTTGACAAGTCTTGGAAGATCTTTCAAACTTTCTAACCTCTAGACCAACAATCAGTTATTTTTCTTTAATTATTTTTGGTAACAAAAGACAAGAAACCGGAAACACTACCCAAAAAACTTGCATAAGCCTTTCTTTCTATGTCTAAAATCTTTCATTTAACAGCACAAGTAAAATATTCCCAAAAAAACTCACAAAATTGTGCTTACAGTTTTCACAGCCCTTTTCAGTGGTGCTTTGAGAATACCTCTCCGTAAAAATAGCATGGAAATATTCCCAATGCACAACAGAAAAGAGTTGTGACAACTGTGTGAGTACAATTTTATGAATTGACTTGGGTGGGTGCATGTGCATGCTCACACACCATTCCAACGGTCTCTTTGTATTTGGAATACCTCCTCATAAAATAAAGCATATAAATACAAAAATATTCCCAAATTGATATTTGACTCAGTTGAGACCTTCTGCCAACTACTAACTTCATCTAACACCGCACATCTCACCATGAAACTGGGACCCGTCATCTATGAAATGTGCGTGTGAGATTATTTGGTAGAGGGTTGGAAACTCATATATATTTTGGCGAAAGATCTTCTTGAAAAGAAAAAATTGAGAAAGGGCACCATGGTTAGCATTCTTCCCAATCGACACAATCTATCCCCTACCCTGTATATTTGGTGGATTGAAAATCCAAAACGTGCACTCTCAATCCTAGAATTGATTCTTATAACTTTTAACAGACTACATGTGAAAGATGCATATAAAATTCTGCAATCAATTTATATTCAATATTGCTTCAAAATTGAAGTGCAAAGAGAGATTTCCAGATCATTTACCACGCTTGGCACCGAGATCCGACGAAGCGACAGTGGGGGCATCTCCAACCAGCCTGAATTCGTGCAGCTCCTTGAAGTTCATCCATGGCTTCACCCACACCTTGGCTTCACAGAGTTTCTTCTTACCCGCCTCAATCACCTCCAGAGTCAGGTGGTGCATCATTCCGGCAACCACCTGCTCCTTCGCCATCACAACCCTCCCAAACTCCAGCAGCGCATTCTACCCCAATCATCAAGCAAACAAAAATTAAATAAATGAAAGAATTCTTTTTCAAAACTCCAGAGAGCTTCCAGTCGAGATTCGAGAAAGAGACAAGAGATAACCTGTTTCTTGTTGTGTTCATCGACAGCGAATCGAGCAAGGTCTTCAATCTCGACGCTGTTCTCAAACCCGACGGAATCGTGTATTCCGCCGAGGATTACTCCCTCGCGTTCCATCCTTTTGGGATTCGCGAAACAAAGCCTAAATTCAGAAAATGCAGAGAAGAGAAGCAGTAGAGATGACGCTAAAACCGAACAACGATTTACACTCCTGAATTTCATCGGTCCGCTCTCTTTAATAACTCTGCTGAATGTTGGCAGGTGGCAGCTGCTTCGTTTCCTCCTTCACCCACTTTATCCTCCGCACTTTTGCTCTGGCATGGATTACAGGATTAGATTCTCTCAATCGAGTTCGGATTGGCTCCCATGGAGCGCGTCCCACACGACAAAGGAGTTGAAATCAACCCCTCACACGGTAAGTTTCCCACAATGTCTCACAGAACATCTGCCATGTTATCATCGGGAGATGTTTTTAATGCACGGCGGAGATGTGCTGTGGGATGCTGTGAGAAATTATCTTGTGGGGATTGATATGAACTCCACGATAAGTACGGAAGATGTTTGGAGCGTGCTATCGGTCCGACTTTGGGATCGGTGTGAGGCGTGCATTGGAAAATGGGAATATTTTCATGAGAGAGGTTTCTAATGCACTGTTGATATGTGATGTAAGGTGCATGTGAGGCATGGTCTGTGCGGATCCTATGTTATTTGTATTGTATTCTACTTGTGAATTTTGGATTTATTGCTCAGTGCTAGGGATGCGAGATTCAAATTAGGGTAATCTGAATCCAATCTATTTTGTTTATAGCGGAAGACGAGATTGAATCTGATAGGTTTCCATCTGAATTTGAATTTTATTGACAAGTCAGATATTTAAATCTGATCTGATCCAATTTGTTTTTTTTTAATTAATAAATTATTAAAAGAAAAATAAAATATACCAATTTAAATTAAAAAAAAAACAAAAAATACAAGTACTTTTTTAATTATTGTCATAACACAGAGATTATATAACATATATCGGATCGAATAAAGGTGATCCAGATCTGATCCGATTAAATCCGAACATGGGTGATCCAAATTCGATCAAATATGGTCAGATCAGATCATAATCCGATCCATTGGTATCCCTACTCACTGAATATGCCTCACATCAACCTCAAGGTCCTCAGCACATTGGAGCCCTGCATTGGAAACACCTCTCGTGAATGATGAGTTCCATCTGCTCCTCACACCGACCTTAGCATATTCCACCCACACATCAGGAACATCTTCCATACTTGGATTTATTACTCATGGGGAGATGTTCTCAATACATGGTAAGATGTGACTATGAGATTGGTGTGACTTGTGAGGAGAGCAGATCCAATTCATAAACTTATAAGAGTATGGCGATGTTTCATATGCGTGTGCACGGCTCCAAGTACTATGAGGTTGGTGTGAGGAGTTCTATGTGAAGAGCAAATCCAAACTCTACTTAGAGTAGTCTTGGGCTAAAATGATGAAATAACAACTTTTGATGCATTTTTGTGGCCTCACTTTAGGTCACTTCATCCAAGTTAAGGTGAGTCCACATCAATTCATCAAGAGGCATGATTCATGGTTTTGGCCCAGCATAGTAGGGCTACTCCAAATGGAGTAGCTGATTTTTGAGTGCTCTCTAAACCTTACAGGTACATCCCACTGTGCATTGGGAATATCTCCCCATACTTATATGTTATTATTTACGACAATGCACGGTGGAATGTGCCACTTAGATGATGATTGTTTGAATTTACGTTTTTGTATTTAAAAACGTAAATTTTTTGAGAAAAAAAACTTATCGCATAAGAAGAAAATAGAACTGGGAATTGAATGTGGCACATTAGCATGCTTGGACTTCTCTAAACAATATAACATTATATCAATTAAGGAAGCATTTCATATTGTGCCATGTTAGTTTTTTAATTACTTCTTTTTCTTGGTGATATGTTTGCTGGTTTAGGCTTTTCTCTATACCCATTTCTAGACATTTTGCTCGTATTAATTTTGCATATTTTTTCATGTATTTGTACACAACTTCACATTTTGCATATTTCTCTTTTAATTTGTACATAATTCACAATTTTGCATTTTGCATGTAATTTGTTTAGGCTGCATTTGGAAATTATGCTAATGGAGTGTAAATCCCGGTTTAGGGTAAATTTGCACTTTGGTTCACTTTTGCCTGTATTTGATAACATTACATTTGTGCATTGATAAATAACAGACCAATGCATATTTACATTGATAAGAAGATGTAAAAGTACATCAATAAAAACGAAGTAAATTTGCATTCAAGTGGGTTTTTGATAAAAAAAAGTATATGCTTTATTGAAATTCATGTTTGCATCCATTACAGCTAAAAGTTTGTTTGATAAGAAAGTAAATTTGTCAGTACAAAACTAACCTAACTTTGCTATTTATATGAACCATTTTACACTCTATATATATGCATTCACACTTATTTGCATCGTTTCCAAACACAGTTTAATTTATGCATTGTGCATAATTTTTGCATAATTGAGACTAAATTGCACTTTTAAGTGATGAATTGTATATCGAGACCATTTGGATTCTATGCTATGCCTTGCTTCTCCCCCTTCCTTTCCATGGTTTAGCATTAGCCTTTGGATAGCCGTGTGGACATATGTTGACTCCTAGTAGGGGGTGAATGTTGGATTGGGTTAGGTTGAGTTGAGGTCAATCCTAACCTAACCCAAGTTGTTGAACTCCTAAGCCTAAAACCCAACCCTAAGATTTTGAGTTAGGTTGGTTTGGATTGACCCAATTTCTCGATTTCCCTTTGTTAAATTTTCTTATTTCTTGAATTTAAGGATGGACGTCAATTCAATTTTAGCATTATTATGTACAAAATGGCATAGTTATCGTACTTTAAAAAAATTGCTTTAAAAATTAATTGTTGACATACATATATATACCCATATATGTCAATAAAAAGACACACATATATATATATATACACATAAGTACTTGCATACATGTTTATATGATTTTTATTGATCCAACTATGATACTAGAAAGACATAATACCATATAAATCTCTAACCGTTATAACCAATCAGGTGACTATTTATCAAATTCACAGAAGGTTGTGATTGGTCAAAGCTCTTCCAGTATTATGTATACTTTAGAAAAAAAATTGCTTTGAAAATTATTTGTTGACATACATATATACACCCATATATGTCAATAAAAAGACACACACACATATATATATATATATATATATATATATACACATAAGTACTTTTATACATGTTTATTTGATATTTATGGATCCAACTATGATACTAGAAAGACATACTACCATACAAATCTATAACCGTTATAACCAATCGGATGACTATTTATCAAATTCATAGAAGCTTGTGATTGGTCAAAGCTCTTCCAGTAATATGTATTTCCGGTATCATAGCTTTTTCTAGTATTTATACATACAAATATGAAGTTAAGCCAGGTTCAATTGGTTATGTACAATGGTTTTGTAATGGATACAAGTCAAAAAAAATCTGTGTGAGTAGTAATTCTTTTTCCTTCGCCTTGAAGCAAAGTATGGTCAATGCATAATGATGTACAAATATGGCACTTGAGATGGGCGGATGGGATGGCCCAATGGGCACCAAAAGTAGTTTTAATTTAGGCTGTGCTTGGATGGCAATTTTTTTGTTGTGCCTTGTTTAAACCTTTTTAAGGCCCATTTATTGGTGGTCTTTCAGATTTGGCAGCCCAAATCAGATTGGTTGAGGCATAATTTTCTCATTTATAGTATAGCCCAAACTTATGTGCAATGTTATTGCTAGTGGATATGGCACTAAATGGAACGAAATGGTTAAATAGGATTCATGTAGCTAAGCCCATATGGTTATGATAAGTCTCAAATGATGATGATGATGATGAATATAAATTGAAAAAATAAATAAATAAAATTTTCCAATTAGGTTAATTGAAGGAAGTTTATTTGATAAACCCATCTTATGCCCTGTGGGGTGGGGAGGGTTCCACTGCCTAATTTAGGGTCAGTTTGGTTCATAGTTAGAATCGGAATGGTCTATTCCCCCTGCCTGTTTGGTTGAGATAGGAATCAAATTCAGTTGGAATGGATTCTCATTCCTAAAGGGATGGGAATGGCCATTCCCTCAAATGGGGGAATGCCATTCTATCAGTAATAAGCATGGGATTCTGATTCCATCTAACCAAATAGTTGGAATCGGAATGGACCATTTTGATTCCGATTCCATACCCTTGTTCTTGCGAACCAAACGAATTCTTAGGTCATCTATCAAATAGGGTCCTCTAGTTTAGTCATATCTTTGGCTCCACAATATTCATTAGCATCATCATGTAAGAACATGGATTTGCATAAGTGATAATAATTGTTTGAATTTTATAGTTGTGATAAGGCTTAGATAATTAATGATGATTACAATGACTACAATGAAGATAATGATGATTGCTTAAATTTAGGGTAAAAGGCATAAACCTCCCTTCAAGTTTTTCTTAAATACTGAAACCTCCCCTCTCATTTCAAAGTCGATTAAGACCTTCCCTATAAAAAATGAAATCACCAAACAAGCACCTCCCCTTAGCAATTTGTAAAGATCCATTTGCATATGACACTAAAAATTCCAAAAATCTAAATTTTCCCTTTAGCTTTTCAAAAACATCTCTCTCTCAAGCTTCTTTTTGAGATATTTGCCTCTCCTTTGTCTTGTCTACTAAAGATATAATATGAGAGAATTTTTCATTTGCATTTTTTTTTGTAGCTGGAGTTACCTAGTGTACCCGTTAGGACATAGGAATTTGGATTGTTTAAACTTTAAATTGAGGTTTTAGGAGTTTCCATGGAGAATACGATAATTGAAGTGGAGTCAGTTGAAGAACAGAAGTTGGATTTACTTGATACTCCGGTCCTTAATATTCTTCTTGTTGGGGGTTTTGATGATTTTCTTACATTTCTTGTTGTCTTCTTCTTTTTGTAATGGTAAGTGCTATTGTTTTTTTTACATAGAGGAAGAACCACAACAACCCTTTAAAGTTGTGGTAGTTTAGAAGTGGGAGTCTATAGACTAAAACAAACACTTGGCTACAAAGCGAATTAAAGGCTCAAGGAGTTGTTTCCTGGGAAGGCACATTGATGCTCAAGTCAATAACAAGAATCGAGAGCGGTTGGGACGAGCTATCGAGGGCGAGCCAATCCAAATATAGGAGATCAATCTGAGAGCAAGAGTATTCAAGAGCAAAAGCCCTGTATCTTGAGGGGAAATGCCTTTAAATAATTAAGTGTCTGTATTGTA